AAAAAAAACATATTTCGATTTGCTTTATTTCTTTTCGTTTCGGATGCTACCTGAATTTTACCAAAAAGAAAATAGTTTCCATGTCTGATGATGACCGGAGAAACTGTTGAAAGTACTTGCATATTTAAGGAAGACCTAATACAGTTTATATTTTTAAAAAACAACGATCATAACATTCATCAAGTGGTTAGTGGGTTAATGCATTTTAAAAATTTAGTTAACGAAGTGAATTCGGCATTTTATCTCATTAACTTTACTAATCTACTTTTTTGTATCAATGATTCATTGTAATATAAATTAAACTGCACCACATAATATATATATATATATATATATATATATATATATATATATATATATATATATATAAGAAAATATCAACTTCAACAACGACAATAACAACATTTATTCACTATCTATTAGGTATTAAATTACATCTTCATAGTTTATCTTGACTTTCAGAGTTTGCCTTAAAATACTTTTGAACGTTGTTAAATTTACAAATTTTGATAACCTAACGATATTTTACCTCTGTTTATAAATACATGTTGCAAAATAAAATCTATACATTTGGCTTGATAAAGTTCATCAGAGGACGAAACGCGTTGGTAAAGAAAAGTTTTCCTTTTGTCTTCTGTCAGAATTCTGTCTATTATTATTATTATTATTATTATTATTATTATTATTATTAGCAGTAGTAGTAGTGGTAGTAGTAGTAGTAGTAGTATTTGTGTTTTCATGTTCATATATCAGATTATCACCGTAGATATCTTAGGTGCCATCCTCACAGATTTCAGCACTGACGTGTCTTGAACGAATTAAATACATGAATGTTCACTCATTCAATCTCTATTCTACGATTTTGACATAATTCCACTCGGACCATTATAAACTTTGTGTTCTACGGTGTTCTTAATTCTCGAGGAAGGTCCTAGTATTTTTCTGATTTTTCACTTTCTTTCAGAATTTAGAAGATCTGACTTTTTTAACGACTATAAGCCCCAATCTTCTTTCTTGGATGGGAAGTCAGTCTTGATGCCAAAGTCGCAGAATATCATATTTCTTTTCTTTTCTGATGCCATTTGGTCATAGCTGTTTACATAATTCTTTTTTTTTTTTTTTTTGGTTGTCAATGTATCTTTCATTCTTTAAAATAATATTATAATGATTCTCTCTTGTTATCGTTTCATTGTTGTTTCATTATTCCTATTTTGATTATTATTTCTTTGTTTTGTTTCCCATTACTTCAATTATTTTCAGCACAGATGTATTTCTATCATATTCGTTTGTTTCAATTACTTTTCTTATATCCAGTTGCATTCACTAGGAAAATGGGATGCAGAGAATGTTGTAATTTTTTTCTTTCTTTTAGGAACACACTACATTTTGCCTTTAAGCAACGAAATAAACTTTCCTTTATTTTACTGTTTTCTCTTTTTATTCACTCATTGGGGAATCGTACCTTTTGGCGTTGAAGGTGACTTGGTTCAATGTGGCGTAACTCAAAGATGTTCGTATGTTATTGGAATCCCTTGAGATAGTAATTCGATTCAGTCGAGGAATTTCAAGCCAGCTAAATTTACTGTGGAATTTTTGTTAGAATCCATATCATTATTCAACTTGTTTTTGAATTCGTTTACTCCTGTCCGTATTCATACGTTACGCTTTCATTGTTTCTTCAAACGTTTAATCCTGTGATTTCGAACGTGGGGTGCGTGCCCCAAAGGAAGGTAGCAATTTCAGTATTTGGGCAGGTAATATGGAATTTCGTTGAGAAGAACGAAAGACATCCCGTGGCTGATAACTGAGTTGTGTTATGGTTTAAATGATTAATTCTAAAAAAAATCTTTTGATAGATTCAGATCGAAGTGAATGTTACGGCCAATTACTGCAGTACAATAAAAAGAAAAGATAAAAAAAGAAACAAATCATCGTCTAAAAGACGCCCCGTTTTACCACTCCACAGTAGAAGGATTCAGTGTTAGGGTCAAATACAGGATTTCGGAACGATAACCAATAGTGACCAACGACAAGCCCCTATCTACAAATTAACAAGATTTAATTACAACTAGTCAACACATAAAAAGATTTAGATATGAAAATGTGTGGAAAGAAGTGTGCTATATATTTTCTGCGCGGAAAGATGCAAAAAGTTAAAACAAAAATTTAGCTTCAGTTTTTCTTCTGAAATAAAATAAAGTTTTCTCTTTTCCCTTCTCTCTTTCTATATTATTCTCTTTGTTCCTTTTAATTTCAAATCATTTCTTTTCGTTCAAGTAGCGGTGCCATTTGATCTGTTCTTCTTACTTCAACATTGCTTTCATTATTCGGTCATTTAGTTTCGATACTGCAGAAATTGTGCATTTGGTTATGAAGATTCTTTGTCATAAGTTTAACTGTGCAGAATTCATGTTTCAGATCCTTCATCCAATTATGTATATTACGTAGGCGTTTCTTACATGACGGTCATGTTTCGCTATTCACCTATGCCCTTTAATGTGAGCTGCATAGTTTTAAGTTAAATTGGAGTTTGTCTCGTTACGTGATCTCTCTTGCTTGACTGTAACAAGTGAAAGAAGAACTGTCCGCACAAGAACGACTGATTTAATCTATTTGGTGATCGAATCCTATATGTTTCGCGAATACTTTTTTGTTTAGGCAATGATAACCATATATAATAATGAACGGTATGGTATTTTGCGTGTTTCTTTCTTTCTTTCTTTCCCTGACCATAAATTTTGTCATGGATATAACCATTTACTAAGCGTAGCTAAGATGTGAGACAAAGCGGAAAGTATGGAGCACCCAGTGTGGATCGAGCACCCTACTCAGTTGTAATTAATCTAGCGAGACAAGCTTGCTAACCATTACACCACGTTGAAGTGCTCAGTATTGCAAATGGATATATAGAAAAAAAAACGCTAAATTCTACAGGGATTTAAATGTTCGAGCTATAAAGTTAGCAACAAAATGCCGTATCTATTTTTCAGCATTCCTCTGCACATTTAGCAACGTAAAATTAACTTGCAATTACGAAGTTATGCAGAATATATTAATAGTAAACTGATCCAAGGTGCAAATCGTAGCATAGATGTAGCACAAGGCCGAAAGTATGGAGTGCCAAGTGAGGATTGAACTCACGCATAATTGATATAGCGAGACAAGTTTGTTAACATTAAACCACATCGTTGTGTCCTTGCTTACATCATAAGTTAAAAGTGACGAAATTAAATTCTACTTTAGATACATGGATGTATTTCAGCTAAAACCAATGGAGATAATTCAGTATATACTTTTATATTACCATTATTTAATCTTTTGCATCAAATCCCTTGTTAGTGTTTAATTTAGAAGAATATAGGAGGTGCGTTGAAAACTTCATAGGTTGTCTATGAAGTACTAATGCTAGAGCTGTGAAATAATGCATGTATTAATTTCAACTTTTCTTATTAATAACTGCATTGTTTCTTTCCAGTTAAACTGATATCTGACTGTTCAAAGAAAACTTAAAATGTAACAAGCAGCGTCTTTTCTTGAAAATGGACAAAATTAGGCATCGTGATGTTGTCAAGTACCTGAAGAAAAAGAGTTTAGCCCCTAAAGACATTCGGGCTGATATAGTTGCTACATTATTGAGTAGCTGAATTTAGAAGTGGAAGGGAGAGTCTTCAAAGATGACCCAAGGTCAGGACGTCCTGCAACTGCCACCATCGAGGAAAACAGTGATCGTGTTCACTACATGGGAATGAATGACAGGTCACTGACTATAAATCAAATATTCAATGTTATTAGCATATGCCGTGAGACAGTTAAGCATATACCTTGACATGACGAAGGTTTCTTTTCGCTGGATTTCTCGTCTTCTGACTGATTGTATCACGGATAAACTGGTATTCTTTGAGACAGAACCAATTAGTTTCCTTGAACGTTTTCCAACCCAGGATGAGTTTCGGATTCATCGCGTTGAGCCAGAAACACAGAAACAATCCATGCGGTGGAAACATCCCTCCTAACATGCTCTAAAAAAGGCCAGGGTCATCTGCAGGGAACGTAATGGCTTCGGTTTTGGGGATGAAAACGACATAATGTTTATTGAGTATCTTCAAATGGGTAACATCATCAATGGAAAGTACTATGACAACTTGCTGAGGCATTTACGAAAGGTAAACCGATGGAAGGACAATGCTCTAGCACACAACTTTTTGGTTTCAATAGCTGCTGTACATGACTGTGGCTTTGAACTGTCTTTGATCACCATTTCTTGAATTGGTCCCATCTGACTATCATCTGTTCCCCAACATAAAAAAAACACTTGGCTGAGAACTAGTATCAGAGTGATGATGACGTCATATCTGTTGTTTATGAAAAGTTGACTTAATCTGACGACTATCTCTTCCTGATACTCTTGGAACGAAAGTTCCTTCACTGAAAATTACAATTAAATTTTCGCAATTTTCTCTGTATTCTTTCTGAGTTGATCAATATTTGTATTTTTATGCTTCAAAATGTAATTTTAAAATCTTTCTCTTTTCTCACGCCCCGAATTGTATCGAATGTGCTTAGAATTCATGAGTCAGTATCAATGTACTTTTATGTATTTTAAATATAATTTCAGAAATCATCATTAAAATTGAATGCTTTCTCTTTTGTTACTTTGCGGCTCGGGTCGAAGAATCGGAGAGTTGAGTTCGAGTTCCAGTCGAGTTCATTACATTCACGTGATAATACCCTTGGGATATTCTATTCTAAAGCTATGGGTAAATAGCAGAACAGACCGGCTTCTATAGCGTTTGGTGGCAACCGGTCTTGGAGAAGGAAAATTCGGAATTAAAAACTATGCAGCCTTGGCGAAGCCTCTACGGCTAAGGAAAGGATCGTTCGCATTGACTCGATGATACCGACTACCTTCGACTCCTTTTTTTAATGTTTTAAATGAACAATCTAGAAAAGGATGGAATTGACTTATTTTGATTTTTAAATTTGCAATCCCCCCCCTTTTTATGGAACACCATTTGTTGTTGAATTATTTCTTTCTCTCTCCCTCTCTCTATCTCGCTCTCTCTCTCTCTATCTATCTATCTATCTATCTATCTATCTATCTATCTATCTTTCTTACGCTTTTCATTTTCTCATTTTATGACATTCTCTTTCACTTCTTTCTTTCGTTCTTTTTCTCCTGACACATTTTCTTTCTCGTTTCCTTTAGATTATCTTTATCATGAACATGCAATGATATTTATTGAAGAATTCTATTTAGTAGTACATACATATGTGTTTGTTTATGCGTTTGTGTATGCATCCACCTGCGTGTGAGTGTGAGTAGAGATTAGTAAGTGTGCATACATCCAATCTACCTATGTGTTTGTATGTATGATTGCGTGTATATATATATATATATATATATATATATATATATATATATATATATATATATATATATATATATATATGTGTGTGTGTGTGTGTGTGTGTGTGTGTCAAAAATATAACGGTTTTGTTTTTTTCATACACAGGCACAAATAGAACAAAGAGAAAATGCGGGAGAGAATCCTAATATGGAATATCGTTTTATTTTCCTATACTCCAGGATTATTCTCTCTCTCTCTCTCTCTCTCTCTCTCTCTCTCTCTCTATCTATCTATCTATCTATCTATTTGAAAAAAAGGTTTCGATCTATCTGCAGAGGCAGAAGAAAGTCGGCACTCTTAAGAAACGATCTTCTAATGCTTCCTTTTTTTGTAATATTGTAATTTTTATCGAACTTGCATCTGCCCTTTTCCACCCGATTCTCCTCGTCCTCTTCCTAGTAACGATTGTGCATCATCTCAATTACTTCAATTGCATATAGGAGGATACGTACATGCATTCCACACATACCGTAGTGACATCAGTTCGAACGCAGCGTACGTGCGACTTGGCGACTTCTTCGCTTTCTTCCTAATGGTATTCTGGTATCGTAGTTTTCACAATCGCAAAGCATTCTGGTCGTTCAAGGTCAGCCAAAAGGTAAGCAGCCTTGTTCGATGCCATGAAAAGTTTTCAATTCAATATTTAGCCTATATATGATCATCTATCGACTGCATAAATATAACCTTGATTTCAATAAACTCTCAGGCATTTTACGTGTAGTTATTAATATTGATTAACTAACACGAAGAAAGAGATTATATATCGAGGTGTTCACGTAATATTTTATTTCTACTATTCGCATAGTACCCGTCAACTATCTGTGCAAATTGTCAATCGTAGTCTCTTTCTCTTTATCTCTTTATCTCTCTCTCTCTCTCTCTCTAATTCATTTTCCCGCTGGTCGTTTCTATGTCTATATAGGCGCCTTCAGGACATGGCTGATCATAGCTCTCCATAACTCCGTCTTTTGCTGCTCTCAAGAGTACTTTCGTTTTGCGAACCGTTCTTTCTTTGTAGTACTTGTTCCTCCATCCATTTGCATAAACCTATCAATGAGGTGATCTTCTCTTTCCTTCGCAGTGGTATCTTTATCCTCTTTCCCAACATTTTAAATTCTCTTTCTGATTGTTAGCAACTCTTTCCTTTCTAGTTTGCCACATGACATTCTCAACATTCTCAGTAAAATCACATATTGGTCATTTCAACTTATTTTTTCCTTTTCAACAAAATTCATATTCAGAACTTTTCAAAGTCCTTCAGTAATAGTGAGCACAAACGTCAACTTTTCTGTAACTTCTTCATTTTCCTGGTAAGATCTAGATATTTCCTTGAGTTTTCACTTTGTTTCAAGAGTACTTTTGCGCTCTAATGGAATAGTGATAGTATTTTTTTTCTTTGTTTACGTTAAGTAGATCTGGCCTCTTGGTCTGGATAGAGCTATCAGTTTATGATTACGAACATTTTTACTAAAGGCGGGAGATGAAGGGTCAATTGTAGTAGTGATTGTAATTAATATTAGATCACAGGTATATTATTGATTTTTAATAAACTTAGCCACAAGTGTAAGGTTCCCTATAAGAATTTCTCTGAATTCTGTTAACATGTGATTAATATAAGAAGTTGTCTTATTCAATAAGAGTTAGCTAATCATTATCCAACAAAATCTTTCATCAATTATATAATTCTGTATTGTGATTTTGCTAAATCTCAAATACCTCACTTCAGTCAACGAATTTACACGATAATCTGATCCTGAAAATATTTCTTTTCGGGATAACCTTTTTTATTATTTTAATCCTTGCTTTTATTTTATTTATTTCGTTTCTTGTTTTTAAAAGATGTTAGCCGCTTCATTCCAATAAAATCGACCTTCTACGCACGACCCTGGCAACGCGTCAAAATGACATTAAATACTGACCTGTCAACTTGGATATGACTGTTTATAATTATTATTATTTGCCAGACAATAATTAAAATAATAATACAAATTAGGGCAATGCTTTTAAAGGGATTATCTCTTATTAGAAAAATAAATAAACGAATAAAGTTTTGTTTATAAAATGCTTGTATTTCTATTATTAGCATTATTGCGATGGCTGGGAGTTGTCTCCCTCACCCACCCAATTTATTGTAGATTCCACAAAATAGAATAAATAAAAATAAGAAGAAAATGGAACAACTGTCAATATATGGAGTGTAATCTTCGAGAAATCTATTCCCTTGTTTCGTCGAACTTGCCTGCCGTTGTTATTGTCTGGCAAGGAATTAGAAAAGCAATATATAGAATGTAATCGTCATAAAGCAGTAGGCCAATGACCTCGCTCTTGAAGCATGACTTTATTTCTCTTGGAGCGAAGGAATTAAAAAGAAAAAAAAACATGACGGAAAGAGGGCGATGAGGACAAAATGAAACAAAAGAATTTTTAAAGAAATAGCAAATAAATTATTAAAAATACATGAAGATTACAGAATAAAATAAAAGATGAATTTAACAAAAAAAATAACAGAAGATTATAAAATGACAGGAAATAAAATATGAAATGCGGGAATAAAAAAAAATTCAATAATTCGTTATAAAAGTGTATATATAGTGAAATTAAAAGAATAAAAAAAATGAAATTAAAGTCAAAGTATTGTGGAATAAAAAGGAATAAGTAGAAATGAATCAAGTCTGAAAAAGGATGAAACGGAATAATATAAATAAAAAGTAAAAGCAATAAGGTGTTTGATGATGATGATGATGATGATGATGATGATGATGATGGCGAAGCTGCAATATTAAGATTAATAGCAGTTTTAGTATTAATAAAAGAATGGTTCATCTTGGGAGAAAATAGCTTAAAAGCTAAAATTGAATGGCATTAAACCAGAATCATGGTCATGTTAACTTCAATATATGTAAATAATAATAATAATAATAATAATAATAATAGTAATAAATAGCAGAAGGAGGCCTGGTCCCCTGAACGTGATGGCCCACTATGGTATGGTTATGCTCTGGCGCCCACGAACCAGCCCCCACATATGGTTAAATACGAACTAATTATAATGGTGACGCAACGAAAAATATTGATAAACGGTTTCGGTCTTTATGCGGGTCAACAAAGACCGCGATCTCCAGTGAGGAACGAGACTGAGATTGAAATGTTTGCAACTGAAACAAGCTCTTCCCAAACGAGAACTAAAGGAAAACAACGCCGAGGAAAAGTCTTCACAGATGTCCTCTATATTCATTAAAAGAAAATCCCACAAAAAAAAGAATAATAAATAAATGGTCTAGAGAAGAGTATATTGAAGTAATGATAGCATTTTACACCGCTACTATAAATCCCACAATGACAACAACGACTAAAGCTGCCTATAATATCTGGCGAGAAAAACACGCCTCAAAGAGACTAAACTGCGATGCTAACAAACTAGCCCATGTCAGGAAAAATAGGATACCTGACATAGAACTCGAAAGCATCCAAGAAAACATCAAAAACAGATTAAAGTTTAACATCGAGGGGCTAAAAGCCAATAACCCAGAGGAGACACATGCAGAGGAACAAATAGAAACCAGTACAGAAACAAATAGTGGAAAATGTACAAAATCCTCACTACTATCATAACTGAGAAGGCATACAACTTCCTTGAGAAAAACTATTTACACCCAGTTGAACAGAAGGATATAAAAGAGGAAGTTACAGGTGCAAGAACCAACTAATTATCATTAAAACAATATTGGAAGAGGTGAAAACAAGGAAAATAAGCTTATCGATAGCATGGATCAACTACAGAAAGACGTTCGACATTGTTCCGTACTCATGGATAAAAAAGATCCTAAAAATATACAAAGTATGTCCCACAACGGTCAAATTCATAACGGAGAGTATGAAAAACTGGAAGACTACACTAAACCTAAACCATACAAACAGGTCATTAACATCGAGACCAATCGACATCAAAAGTGGAATCTTCCAAAGAGATTCATTATCATCATTACTCTTCTGTCTTGCATTAACGCCACTCAGCTGCCTATTGAATAACAGTAGCCACGGATACAACACACAGGATAGCAAACTGAATCACATATTGATGATCTTAAAAGTTTGCCAAGGATGACAACCAGCAGAAAAACCTACTCAGCATTGTCAAAACCTTCAGCGGAGACATTCGGATGGAGTTCGGAATCGACAAATGTGCCAAAGCCACCTTCAAAGTCTGTAAATTAACGAAAACTACGGATTTAGACTTTGATATCAACAACAAGATTAAGGAACTCGACCAAGATGGTACATATAAATAATTAGGAATTAATGAAGAAGACGGAATACAACATTCAATGATGAAGAGAAAGATCAGAAAAGAATATTATAAAAGAGTGCGTTTAGTGAAAGCGAATTAAATGGGGGCCAATAAAATAAAGGCTATCAACACCTTAGCTATACCAGTAGTAACATATAGCTTCAACATTATTAAATGGAAGTTGAATGACATTAAAAAATTGGACGCCAAGACCAGAAAAAGACTTACCCAAATGAGGATGCACCAATCGAAATCAGATGTTGATAGGTTGTATGTAGCAAGAGTTTTAGGAGGCCGAGGTTTAATCCAACTTGAATTAACTCTAAAAGCTACAACGATCGGATTAGAAGCATACCTTACAAAAACCCATGACCCTCTCCTACAAATAGTAAAACACCAAATCCACCCCATCAACAAAGAAGATGCACTTTTCAAGAAACAGCTTAATATACCTGAAATCCTACCAACAAAAAACGAAGTGAATACCATTTACGCCAAACGAGTAAAGCAGAAAGCAAAACAATTTGGCCAAATGAAATTACAAAAACCCTGCGAGGACAAGACACTGCATGGCAAATACCTAAAAAGAACGAAAGAAGCAGATGTGGACCAACAGAAAACACATCAGTAGCTAAGGAGCACCGAGCTGAAAGCTGGGACAGAAGGTCTAATTATTGCAGCTCAGGACCAAAGTCTCGCAACCAGATTCTATCACTGTCACATAATTAAGGATGGAACTAACCCGAAATGCAGGATCTGCGGAAAATATGATGAAACTGTCGACCATATTATCTCAGGATGACCGGAACTGGCAGAAAATGATTATACCTAGAGACATAACAATGTAGCGACATAAGTGCACTGGAAGTTCTGCAAGAAGCACAAAATCGAAACCACTGAGAGATTGTATGAGCATCACCCAGACACAGTTACCCAAAATAACGATGTAACTATCTCTGGGACATGACATTTCAAACTGACAGTGAAATAAAAGCCAACAGACAAGAAATTCAGGAAGTGTATGCTTATTGATATAGCAGTACCATTTGAGAGAAATTGTCCAAATACAAGGACAGGATTAAAAAGATGTGGGGAATGAAGACTGTGACCGTAACAATACTAATCGGAGCTCTGGGCTGAAAAGAAGTTGCCCAGAAAATCGCCCTACTAGGAACACTTCATATACTAAGAAAAGTGCTATTAAATGACAATTCTCCTATAAGGCCTAAGGACCATAGTTTGGACCCGGGTCTACAGGATACAAAGCAGGAAACATAACACACAAACAATAATAATAATATAAAGACCTGGAAATCGAAATAGAAAAAATGAGGAAGTTGAAAATAAGAATGGTACCCATCACGCAACGGCATATTGAAAAATCCCAGCTGAAGAGAAATACAAAAAATGTCTTGATAAGTACAACACACACAATAAGAAGAACTTTGTCCATGTAAATCTAGTGATTTTATGAGAGTCTTCCCACAGACTTGGTAGGTAGTGTGACCATTGCAGAAATCGAAATATAATGATGATAATAATAATAATAATAATAATAATAATAATAATATATATATATATTTATATTTAGAAAAATGACCAGTGGAAAATATCAT